TATTTTCTTCCAAAATTTTACTAGGATTTTGTCTGTGTTTTCTTTGTTCTGTCTCTCAGTCCTTTGAAAATACCTAAATATAATTCTTTCAAATTCTTTATTAGAGAGTTCCAATGCTGCTGCTTCCTCAAAGATGTGTTCTGCGTCTGTATCCTGCTCCCTTGTTTCTACACTTTACCTTGCTTCTTTGTGTGGACTGTGATGGTCTGTTGTCTCTGAGAAATTGTGGCGTTGTTGTATTTAGATCTCTGTTAACTGTGAAGAACAGCCAAGGGTGTGTCAGGCTCTTCTTGGTGGTTATCATTGGCCTGTTGATGGAGAAGGAAGGTGGTGGCTCTCATTCAGTAAGTGAAGCTGCAGGAGGTGTGGGTGTAGTTGTGTTGTACGGGGACTGTTGCTGGCCTCCACTCAGTTACACAAAAATAACAGTTGAATAACCATCAAAAAAGTAAAAGCAAATAGACAAAGAATACACCATGTAATCACATAGCAACAGTAACTAAAAAAAGAAAAAAGGGAAAAAGAAGAAAAAAAGAAAAGAAAAAACCTCAAATATCTGGGGAGAGGGTAATAAGAGAAAAAAGGTAGAGAAAGACAATTATGAAGAAAAAAATGGGAAAAATCAATAAAGAAAAACAAGGAATAGGGTTAACCATGAGAAAGGAAAAAAAAAAAATTGCAACCAGGAATAGGCAAAAGAAAAAAAGCTGAAAACTAGAACCTGGGAGGGGAAGAATAAAGAATAATAGTAAAAAGGACAAAAGTAATAATAATAATAGTAGTTTTAAAACAGATAAAAACAAAACTAGAAAACAGAAGGAAAAAAAAAGCATGGGGGCAGGGCGAGGCAGGGCACTCAGGCTCCATCCAAGCACATAGACTGGGATGGAATTCCTGCCACCCCAGAAATTGGGTGGGAGTGAGGGATGGCCGCATCTCCTTTCACCAAGAGGGTGTGGGGTATAAGAGTAACAAGGAGAATGTCTCACCTTTCCAGTCATTGATATCCGGAATGTCCTTGAGGTTCCTGGCCAGTAGAGCCTGTTCTTACGTCCCTGGAATCTGGGATAACGCTGTCGCTTTAAACATCCAAAATGGTCAAGCCGCTTGTAAACATTCAAAATGGCTGCGCCCTCCAGACAGACAAAAGTCCACATCTCAGCCTCCATCCTCTTCATTGCTTCCCCTTTTATTCCTCAGACACCAGAGCAGTCCTCCGTGCAGTCCCTGGCTAGCAGGGCCGATTTTTAGGTTAATTCGTAAGTTCTACCACCACTTGGCAATATCCAAGCTGTCTGTTCTGTCAGGATCACTGCCAGACCGCAGCAGTCTCCTTTTTCAGTGTTTTCTCGCAAATTCTTCTGCTAGTTGGAGTTTAGTCCACTTTTGTATCCATTCCTTCAAGGCTTAGGGGTCCAGGATTATCTTCTGTATCTGTGTTAATTGGTTCCCCTTTTCTTTGTTGAAGAGGGTCTTTGCAGTCTTTCTGCCAATTCTGCCATCTTACCAGAGCTCCCCCAGACACAAATTGTCTTACGGTGACACTTGTTAATGGGTTCCTTGTCTTCTTTAGAATGTCTTACTGGTAAGGGAGTTGATGTTTTGAATGCTGCTGCCATATCATAGGATAATAGTTTTATTTTCTTAATTGAGATAATTTGCATACCATAAAACCCACCCTTGTAAAGTATACAGTTCAGTGGCTTTATAGTCCAGTTCCCAGTATTGTGCAGATATCCTCATGATCTAATTTCAGAACATTTTCATTAACCGCAAAGGAAACCCCATACCTGTTAGCAGTCAGGCATTCATTCTGTCTTTTGCCAGCCTTAGCAACCACTAATCTTTGTCTCTGATTTGCCTATTCTGAGCATTTCATATAAGTGGAATCAGAAAAATATATGTCCTTTTCATCTGGCTCCTTCCACTCAGTATGTTTGTAAGGTTCATCCTTGTCAAAGCATTATCAGCATTTCATTGTTTTTTTATGGCCAAATAATAAGTTTTCCACTGTATGGATCAGCTGTAGTCTGTGTATTCGTTCCTTCATCGGTTGGTGGGCATCTGGGTGGTTGTTACTTTTTGGCCGTCGTGAATAATGGTGCTGTGAGTGTTCATATTTATTCAGCTTTTGTGACATATGTTTTCAGTTTTTAGGGGGAGACAGCTAGGAGTGGATAAACTTACGTAATTCACTGTTGTCATGTTTTACCAAGTTTGACTCTTCTGCATGTAACCTTAGGAACAACGTTTTGGTGGAAAACACCTGTTTTGTTCTGTACATCATGTTCCTGTTTCTGCTGCCTTTTCAGTTACCCTTGGCTTTCCTAAAGCTTAAGTTTTGTGAGGTCAGGTGCTGTTGTCTCTCTTGTTAATTTTGCAATTCCAGCTGCCCAGTGCCTGGCACCTACTAGCTATTCAAGAAATAATTGTTGAATGAGTATCATTATCAGATGCTTTTTAAATTTTCTTTTGTTTTCCTAGTAAGTAAAAGAGTATAGTACGTCATTTGTTTTTCCTAAATACTAATGTTGGGCAGCAAGTCCCAGCTATAATTTCAGCGTCATTTCCCTAATAGCCAGGGTTCGTTTTTTCCTCATTAAAATGACGTACAGTACCGACTGCTTTCTGTGGTTCCTGGAATCTTACTGCCCCAGACATTACTTTCCCATATGATGGTTTTATAGAGCTGTTAATGTATAGAGCATTCCTTTCTAGACACTCGATTCCAGGATATAACAAAATACTGCATTGGTTGATCTTCCATTTGTATGTTTGTTTTATTTTGTATTTTAAGGCCCATAATTTATTAGTGATTCTTGAAACATCTTTTTTCCCATTAAAAATAATTTATTATCCTTGTTTTTATTTTACAGAATGATTTAAAGGAACGCTTCACTGCAGCCAGCAATACTTCTAAGATTTTGCAGGAACGGATTGAAGAAATGAGAGCAAGTAATAAAGAAAAAGACAGTACCATCATCCGGCTAAAATCTAGGCTGCAGGAGTTAGAGGAAGCCTTTGAGAATGCTTACAAACTCTCCGATGATACAGAAGCCAGACTAAAGCAAGAGAGCAAAATGTTTCAAGATGTAAGTCACAAATCATGGTAACTTATTGACATGATGGCTAGAAGTAACTTCCTAGATATTCCTCACTTAAAAGCTGTTAACACTTCATAAAGGTTCATCTCGGTTTTACCCAACTTTGCCGTAATTGCAAATATATACTTTGCTGATTGATCCAGTCAGCTGGGTATTACCTTGAAGCAGGAGGTCAGAGGTTTCAGAAGCATGATGTCATTCCCAGGCTTTTCTGTCACTAGCAGGTCAGCTTTGAATTGTCAGAAATCCTTTTCTGTGCCCTTCGTAGGAGAAAATGCTATGGATGGATTTAGAGCAGATTTGGTTGAACTTTCTCACTGGGATTTAATTTGACTTAAAATTTGGCTTTGTGTAATGTTGGAACTTTCAGAAGACATACATTAAAACTCATGAGTTAACTTTTCATTCTGGTTGGCTGTTTCACATTGAGTACTTTTTTTCTATTCCAGTGTTGGCTCCTTCATACAGAGTCGCATCTGAAAGTGAGGCATTAGAAGCTGTCAGGGAGCAGTGTGCATGGGCAGAGCTGGCTTTCTCAATGTGAGGGAAGTTGTAGAGTGACGTGCTCATTGTTTTGATTGGTAGCCTCCAGATACGAATGTGTACACACCTTTTTTCTGGGAGGCTTCAGTGTTTCCAGGGAAGAAGCTTCCAGTCTCTTGCCTGGGCTTCCAGGCCCTGGTGGGTGAGGGAGGCAGGGCGCCAAGGCATTCTTTGTGCAGACTTTTACTTACCCAGCCTCTCCTTATCCTTTTGGATTCCCCTCCTTCATTTTTTTTTTTTTTTTTTAAATTTTTGTTGTGATTTGGGTGAAAGTTTACAGAGCAAATTCATTTTCCATACAGCAAATGTTCACACACATTTTGTTTTCCTGATACTGACTGCAATTCCCCCACATAGAGGAGCTCTCTTCCCATTTCTCCCCGTAGTTACCTCTTCCCTGTGTCATCTTTTCCTATGCATTTCCTGGTACCCCCTGCCCCTAAACTATCTCCCTGAGCAAATACTGCCCTTCTGTTCTCCCATGATTGATCGTTCTAGGAGTTATCTTTCTGGTATAAATATTCTCCCTGTATGCCTGTGTATTGTTTGGCTGGAAGCCATAGGAGTGAATTCAATTCCAGAACTGAAGGGTAACTAGGGGCCATAGTGTCGGGGTCTCATCAGGGGTCTTTGAGTTTTGTTCCATATTGTTTTCCCACTCTATCCACGATCTCCCCTCTCCCTCATTTATCAGGGGTTTCCCCAAGTTATACTTTTTTTTTCCGTTTTGTCTATCCTGGCTGGATAGTCCGTTGCTGTAAGGGTTAGGGACAGGTTCCCACTAATTGCTTGGTGTCACCTCTGCCCTCCAACCTTGTCTGGCCCTGGACCTCGTTTTCATCAAAGTCCTGAGCTTCTCGGGTCCTGTGAAGATGCCAGCCTCCATCCCGTCAGTGTCTCCTTGTTCAGGCCCTTGAACTGTGGCCGTCTGTCTTCATCCTGCTAAGTGCCGTGTATCTCTTTGGTCTTGTAAAATGTTGTTGGACTCTCCCACCTGCAGCTGTTACCTCTTAATTAATTCAGTGGGATCTCAGGATAAAGATGAGGAAATCCAGTTAGGAATCTGTTGTCTGTAACCAGGAGTCTTACAAATACATTTCTAAATGTTAACTTAATTATATCAGACTTCTGGCATTTACACATCTACTCTGTAGAATTAATTTAATGAAAAGTATGCGACAATTCAAAAAAGAACAACGTGAATATATTTTAATATTTTAAAATACTGCTTTCTTTTAGGATATTGATAGGTACTACATTATTTTTGTTTTACTTCTTAATTTGAAGTACATTCAAATTACATAAAAGTGTGAACAAAGTAAGAACATAAGAAACCCTTGAATTCCCTTTACACAGAATCACCAATTGTTAACATTTTTGTGTATTTGCTTGATTGTTCTCTTTATGGGTATGTGTGTATACTTATTTTTTCTCTGTGTGTGTGTGTGTGTACACACTCTTGCTCACTCTCTATGTATATACACAGATATATATACACACACGCTTTTTTTCTTGACCCATGAAGTAAGTTGTAGGCATCATGCCCCTTGACCTCTAAACTCTGAGCATCTGTTTCCTAAGGACGAGGGCCTTCTCATATATAGCCACAGTACAATTATCAAAATAAAGAAATGTCATAGTGGTATAATACTATATTCACTTTGTTCAGATGTCTCAATAATACTCTTCATAGTGCCTAAGGCACTTGACTGCTAACCAGAAGGTTCAAACCCACCAGCCACTCCTTGGAAGGAAGGTTGGACAATCTACTTCCGCAGTGATACCACCTTGGAAACCCAAGGAGGGGTCACTATGAGTCAGGTCTGACTCGATGGCACATAACAACAACAGTAACAGTCCAGGATCCAATCTGGGCTCATGCCTTATAATCAGTTGTCACGTTCTTTAGTTGCCTGAATTGGGGGCAGTTTGTTAACCTTTCTCTGTCTCTGTGACATTGGCATTTTGAAATGTAGGGGCAGTTAATTTGTAGTATACTGGTCAATTGCAATTGTAATGTATAATGCTGTGGCCGATTCTTTGTTTTGCTTGCAGCTTTTAGGAGAGTATGAAGCCCTTGGGAAAGAGCATGGAAGAGTAAAGGTAATGGGTGACCATTCATGTTCTGGGTTTCACACTGAGGCAGGAGCATTGGATGGGAAGGACAGGTGACTCTTCCTCCTCCTCCATCCCTATGTAGCTATTTCAGCTGGACCATTCACTTAACGCTCTGTGTCAGAATCCTTAGAGAAACTGGTGGTACAGTGGTTAAAGCACTCGACTGCTAACCAAAAGGTAGGCAGTTCAAACCCACCAGCCTCTTCATGGGAGAAGGATGTGGCAGTCTGCTTTTATAAAGATTTATATTCTTGGAAACCATATGGGGCAGTTCAGCTCTGTCCTATAGGGTCACTGTGAGTCAGAATGGGCTCGATGACAGTGGGTTTACTTTTGGGTTGGTCCGCATCCTTATTTCAAAATAGCTGCCCTATTTAACTCACAAACATGTTGGATTCATTAATTCAGTTAACAAATCTTTATTGAATGGCTGCTGCATTTGAGATCAATGAATTGAGATGCAGTTGTTTAGAAGTGTATAAGGTACCAGACACACATTTAATCCTGTCTAAATACAAAGTTTGATTTTCAGAGCATTTCCTTTTTTCTGGGGTTATTTGTTTGACTTTACTGATATATTTGAACTCTTAATTAAAGCTCCTTAATGGGGACTGCATATTTGGATTCAGGGAAGCCCCATCATAATTTGTAAGTGGGGCAAGTAATTGTATTTCCTAAAATGTAGGTTGTGGTTATTTGGGGTAGTGACAGCCTTGTCTGCACAGTTAGGCTGTCAAGTGTTTTGGGATTTCAGGAGCCAATGGCATTACATGTGACATCTCAGTATTGCAGGGTGTTTTTCTTTTTTTAAACCATTCTACTGAGGTTTTAGTCAAGTGTGTAGTTAATATTAGTTAATATATCCACTTTTACACTATATTGTTTCTACTCAAGAAAGCCTCCTGGGATGTACCTGTCACCCAGGGGACTGTCACACGGTGATTTGTATAGCCCAGCATTGGGCTCTCGTTTTTTCCCGTGAATTATTTATTGGCTCTGTGGTTGATGCCATGCCATACTTGCTGAGTATCTGCACAGTTTTCTGTCTAGCTCTCTGCTGCAGCTTTAGATGACTTTTGTATTATGCATTTTAAAATAAAAGGAATACATGTGAATATTTATCTTCAGTTATCTGAGTTTTTTCTTTATTTTCATAGGATACGTTAAATACAACTGAGAACAAATTGCTTGATGCGCATACTCAGATTTCTGATTTGAAAAGGTAAAATGTATTGTCTTCTAATAAGCAAATCCTTCTCATTTTGCTTGCAGCACTTAAATATGGGTCTGTCTGGGAAGGGATGGAAAGGAAATTTTCCTTTGAGGATTTTTAAACACATGAGTACTGATTTAATCCTCATCTTTCCCTGACGTGGAAATAGATTTGAATTTAGCCAAAGAAGAGTTTTAAACGGTTAGAACCTGGTGGTGGTTGTGCCTCAGACATGTGTACTTCCCCAAATATTTATGTGTTCTTCCTGCGTCAGTAGACTCTAAATGACATCAGACCAGTAGAGGAGAAGGGTCTTTCAGGAGCAGTCCATTTACTGAAAGTATTTTATACTGTCAAAAGAAAACAGCATTCAGACCATCTCTGTAGCCTACTTCCTGAGAGACCCTGTTTGGAGACTATGTTAATGACATGCTTTGCTTAATCAAAATAAACCATTTAGGGACAGAGTCACAAATGGTTTCTGTGGCAAGTGATCAGCTGTTTCTAAGTGGCTTGGGAGCATGTTTCTGCATTTGTGTTTGGATGTGAGGAGCATCCCTGACCTGGCTTACTCACTGCACCCGGTTGGATTTCCCATGGGGGCAGCGGGGATGCTGTCTTGCTTTCTCAGTTTTTCCCGCTTTTCTGTATTACGTTTGGTTGTAGTGAGGGCCCCCATTCGAACTGCTGTAAATATAACGTCAGCCTCGAAAGAGCGGTTCTTCCTCAAATTACCTTCCTTGCAACAGGGTAGGTAACAATCTGAGTTGAAAAGATGAGGTGAGGACACAAAGTTTAAAAGATAGGAAAGGAGGCTAAGATAGTCTCAGAACAGGTCTTTGGCTAGAATAGTTGTTTTGTGTTGACAAGCTTGAAAAGTAGGCTTTCATTCTGAAGAGGCCATGAATTAGATGAACTGCCTACAGGTTGGAAGTTGTTTGGGATATTTTGACCTTTGCACCTTTTAAACATTAGGAAGTTCTTCCAAATCGCTCTGGAGTTGGAAGTTACACCAGCTGCTGCTTTTCTTCCATGAAAGCAGGGCCTGTAATTTATATGTATAAATACATGTGTATCAGATTGAAACATGTTAAAATCATAACTTGCTTGAATGCTTGAACTTATTTCATTTATCCTCTAGGTTTTGGTATATAGTCAGATTTATGTAATGCTTTTATTTGCTATATTTAGTCCACTTGTTCCCTTTCCCTTCACTTGGAGCAAATCCTCTGTTGTAGAGGTTAATGACTATTTTCTTTTCTGTTTATTTTCCCTGATTTTGCTGAGCTTTTTAGAGTTTAGTGATGGCACACGACTATGAAAAAGGTCTGTGTACAGGCAGCTACTTGTTACTGCTTTTCTAGGGGGGTGGTCTATTAAGGAAATAATTTGTAGTTGAGTTATATTTAAATGTGCTGAAATGTACGTATCTTATTGCTTTTGAATTAGAACAATTTCAAAACTTGAAGCTCAGGTCAAGCAAGTGGAGCATGAGAATATGTTAAGTCTTCGTCACAATTCTCAAATTCATGTGAGACCCTCACGTTCCAAGTAAGTTATTTCACTTAATCTCTGTAAAGCTAGAAATTGATACCCACCCCCTTTTTTTTGAACTGAGAAGCTCCTCTGTCTAAATCCTAAGAAAGTTAGGGTTAACTAACTAATGACTAAATGTCATTGCAGAATTTACATATGTAAAAACGAGTAATTATTGGAAATTATAAAAGCTCTTAGGCAGAGACATTTGCCCAAATGAGGAAGTAATGGAATCAGATTCAGGTCGGGAGTTAGAAGACGTGGGGTTCACTTCACTCTTCACTCTGCCCGACTGTGTGGCCTTAGGCCAGTCCCTTCATTGTTTATTTGAGCTCCGTTTTGTTACCCATAAAAACAAGCACATTGGGCTAGAATATTTCCAGTAGCCTTTAAAAATTCCAGCAATTTTATCTTCATGATAATGGAAAGGACTATGAAGAATGTAAATTCATTAAATAGTATGTTTTTTTCTTTAGTTCTTTCAAAATTAGATTTGGTATAATCTGAGGTAATGATTTTTTTTTCAATTTTTATTGTGATTTGGGTGAAAGTTTATAGAGCAAATTCATTTTCCATACAGCAGTTCACATACACTTTGTTTCATGACATTGACTGTAATTTCCCACAATGCAACAGTTCTCCTCCCACCTCTTACCTGTGGTTACCTCTTCCCTGTGTCCTTCCCTTCATGCACTCCTGCCCCCCGAGCTGTGTGCCTGTGCATACACAGCCTTTCTGTTCTCCCATGATTGAGCTCTCCGAGGAGTATATCTACCTCAGGTAAATGTTCAGCTTATATGCCTGTCTGTTGTTTGGCTGGAAGCCACAGGAGTGAGTTCAACTCCAGACGTGACAGACAACTAGGAGCCATAGTCTAAGGCGTTCCACCGGCTCCATCAGACCAGCAATCCTGGTCCTTTTTTTTATTTTTATAATTTTGAGTTTTGTTCCACATTGTTCTCCCACTCTATCCGGGATCTCCTGCAGAGATCCCCCTCCGAGTGGTTGACAGTGGTAGCCGGGCACCACTAGTTCTTCTGGTCTCATAGTCATATAGGCTAAGGATCTCATGGTGTACCAGTCGCTTGGACTAATTGTTTCCATGCATCTTTGCTCTGCATGAGGAGAGACCCATTGTTGCATCTAGATGGCTGCTTGCAAGCTTTTAAGATCCTAGTCTCTACTTGCCAAAGCAGGATGTGGAACAATGTTTTTGTGTAGTATGTTATGACAATTGAGCTTGATATCCCTTGCGACTGTGGTCCCGAGTCTGCAGGTCCAACCACTCGCTCCCTCCTGGGAGCCAAGAAGTGATTACAACTTTATCCCTTGTCACCTCTATTATATACCTGGGAATTCTTACAGAACATGCCAATGAACTTGTAGAAACATTGTCTGCCAGCCCTATACATGGTCCTGGGCACACTGCCCCTGCATAGATACACCGTTCAGCCTGTCCACCCATAGATCAATTTGCCATCACTGACAGTACAGTACTGTATGTGCAGAAGGGTTTATCTTTGTTGTCTGTACGTCCCGAGCACCTCTCTATGCCTTCCTTTTCTCCAGTGCAACTGTGTTGATCACTCACATTTGGTACATTTCCCTTCCCTTCACCCAAGTCAATATTTGTCTCTACCTATGAGATAATTATCTTGAATATATACTATATGTAATAGTTTTCATCATATCATAACTAGTTTTTGTTATGATTTTGCTATGAAAAAATGTAAATGAGTAGAGTATAGCTTTATAACATCATCAGAAAAAGATTATGTTAAATTGTCATTTTGAGCATTTCTAAGTTGTAACTGTCAATTGAAAGGTCATGGAGGTCTAGTTTGGGTCACGGAAGGCTGTTCTGGCAGTGATATGTAAGCAGAGAAGTCAGTCCTGTGTAGAGGTGTTGGAGTAGGAGGTGTGGACAGATGGGAGAGGGATGTTCCAGGCAGGGAGATTAGCACTGCTCAACCCTGTGGTAGCAGAGAGCTTGGTGTTTTGGAAGAACCAAGAGAAGGATGGTGTGGCCTAAGTATTCCCAGCAGAGGGTAAAGTAGCCCCAGATGAAATCATAGAGGCAGGAAGATGATGAGCAGCCTTTTTACAGGATCTAGGTCCATACGGAAGTCTGTGAAGGGCTTTATGTAGTACAATGATGTCTGACTTTTTCTTTTTTTAACATGCCTGCTATGAGAAGATTGGAGAGGGAAAAGAGTTAGGGTTTTGCAGTGGTAGAAGACAAACGGTATTAGCTTGGTGGTAGCCATGGAAATAGAAAAGGAGAAGGATTGAAGATAGAATTTGGAGATAGAATCTACAGAAATTGGTTATGAATTGAATGGCAAGATAAGAAAAGGAAATGTGAATAACTGTGGTTTCTGATGTGAACGACTGGGGGTGCGATGCGTGGAACTAGGAAAGAGGTAGGAAAGCAGACAGTGGAATAAAGATCAGAAGGGCCATTTTGATTGTTTCAGTTGAGATTCATGTGGATTCCAGGTGGGAATCAAGGAGGCAATTACAAATTTGAGCTTGGAGCTCAGAAATAAGGTGCTAGGCTGGAGTGAGGAATTTTGGCGTTCTCTGTTTCTAGATAGTGCTTAAAGCTGTAGGATGGGAATATAGTGGTGGCATAGTGCCTAAGGCACTTGACGGCTAACCAGAAGGTTGGTGGTTCAAACCCACCAGCCACTCCTCAGAAAGAAGGTTGGGCAATCTACTTCTATAGTGATTCTGCCTCGGAAACCCAAGGAGGGGGTCGCTAGGAGTCTGAGATGACTCAACGGCACATAACAGCAACAGTGAGAAGTGGACAAAGCTGTGAAGAGCTCCAGCACTTTGATGTTGGATTGAGAAGGTGGAGGTGTCAAAGGCAGCTGAGGAAGCTGCGAGGAAGCCAAGAGGGAAGCGGAAGCAGTCACTAGTATTGAATGCTGCTAAGAACTCAAGGAGATGAAGAATGAAAAGGGTCTGCAGGTTGTCCCCAGATTATGACGTGTTCGAATTACAACAAACCACATTTAAATGAATTTTTTTTTTTTTTAATATCTTACCGTTGTTGTTGCTGTTATGTGCCATCAAGTCAGACCCAACTCATAGCAACCCCTCCTTGAGTTTCTGAGGTGGTATCACTACATAAGTAGATTGCCCCATCTTCCTTCTGAGGAGTGACTGGTGGGTTTGAATCGCCAGCCTTCTGGTTAGCAGTCAAGTGCTTTAGGCACTACTCCACCAGAGCTCCCATCTTACCGTTAGTAATGTGTAATACATAGAATGTTGCAGCGTGTGGTTGTTGTTGCCGTTCTCAGATGTTGACTTGCACGTTTAAAATCCAGATTTATAAAGGTACTGATAATAAAAGGTAATAATAATGAAATTGAAAAGTAAATAAATAATAGGTGTTTGACTTAGAACCGACTTAGGATGGAGGTGTCGGAATGGAACCCTGCTGTAAGTTGGGGGACGACCTGTTGGACGATTTGCAAGCTAGAGGTTATTGATGGGTTTGGGAATGGTTTGGATAGAGTGATGGAAGTGGAAGCCAATTTTTAGTGAACTGAAGTGTGGACGCAAACCACTTCAGTGTCTCCCAGCCGGAAAATGGCTACATGCAGTGTATTTATGCACAACACTGTATCGTGTGACAGCGTGTGAGACCAGCTTGGGTTGACACACTCTGGCCCCCAGGCCAAACCTGGCCTCTCACCTCTTTCTGTAAGGCTTGTGGGCTAAGAATAGCTTTTACATTTTCAACTGTTTGGGGGAAAAAATCAAAAGGAAGGATGAAATTCATGACACGTTTACATTTCAGTGTCCAAGAGTAAAGTTTTATTGGAATACAACCAAGTTTATCATTTCGTATTGTCTGTGGTTGCTCTTGTGCTGGTACAGCAGACTGTAATGGTCGGGACAGAGCAAATTCATTTTCCATATAGCAGTTCACATATACTTTATCTCATGTCATTGACTGTAATTTCCCACAATGCAACAGTTCTCCTTCCCATAGTTACCTCTTCCCTGTGTCCTTTCTCCATGCACTCCTGCCCCCCGAGCTGTGTCCCTGTGCATACACAGCCCTTCTATTCTCCCATGATTGATCTCCCCAAGGAATGTATTTATCTAATGTAAATGGGAGGCCACAAAACTGAAAATTTTGTTACTATCTGACCCTTCACAGAAGAAAAGTTTACTGACCCCTGAACTAAAGCTGCCAACGTGGATTAATCATAAGAACATGATACGGAGCAACAACCACCAAAAAATAAAAAATCAGCCACAGAAGGGACAGGATACTATTCAGATAACCTTTAACCTGTTGAACAATTCTCTGAACCTTATGGGCTTGTACAAATGGAGTCCAAGTGCGAAAGCATGCCTGGGAATACAGAACACAAATACAATGTCATGGTTGCTTTTGGAGGGCAAATGGGATTGGAACGCTGTGGCTGGGTTAGCACTTGAGTGAACTCTGTCATTCTTCACTCTTTAAAATAATATAATGCATACAAAGCAAACTATCAAGATTTCATAAGGTGTGAGTATTAGCTAAATGTCAGTGCATACTTGAAATACTTAGTATGTTAAAAGTGGACAGCAACCAGTCAAAGATTAGTATCCAGAAGATAAAAGAACTCCTACAAATCAATAATAATAAGATAGTAGAGGGTGGTAAAAGAAACCATCCTGGCCTGTGATGATCAAAAGATGCTTGTTGTTGTCAGTAGTCAGAGAAACACAAATTGAAAACAATACTGGGGCATCAGTTATACCAGCTGTACAGGCCAGACCTGGAGTCGGATCACGCTGAAGTGTGGGAGAGATGTAAAGAAATAGGAACGCTTAGACCACTGATGGCCTGGGAAGTGGCACAGATGAGCTGGAGCGAGACAGCCGCAGTGTCTCCTGGGCAGTGTCTGCATGGGCTGTGTCTAGGGAGGTTGACTACACGTGCATCCCAGAGTTGCGTAGTCCCATTTCAGATATTTACCTTAGGGCATTCCTTTTATGTACGCATTGTAGTGTTGTTTAAAGGTGATCTGTTAGAAAGTAAACATCCATCAATAAGAGAAAGAATAACTCGTGATATAGTCATACTAGAAATGGGTGATTAGGATGATAGTTTTATGTAGCAGTAAATCTCAAGTGTAACACTGGGTAGAAAAAGCAACATTAAAAGGATGCATACATTCTGTCCTTTATGTAATTTAAAAAACACAACTGTATGTGTGTATATACATGTATGTGTGTCTATATGTATATGTGTGTGAATATATATATATATGTATGTGTGTGTGGGGCAGTAAGCAAGTGTGCGTGTTTGTGTCTGGGTGGTGCGAACCACTCCTGTGCTTGCTGCTGACTGAAAGGCTGGAGATGCAGGTCTGTCAAGAGGTGCCTCAGAGGAAAGATCTGGCAATCTACTTCTAAAATCGGCCATTGACCTCATGGAACACAGTTCTGCTGTGATACACGTGGGAGTGCCGTGAGTGGGAGACGGCTCCGTGATGAGTGGCTTTATTTATATGTGCAGGTTTTTGTCTTACAATGAAAGACAAATATGGTTTGATGGTAGCATTTCTTAAAACTGAGAATGGGTAAGTGGGTGCTTGTTTAACATTCTTTGTAATCATTTAAGAATGTTTGAAATACTAATTTTAAAATGGAAGGAAAAAGGGAGGAAAAGAGTGACTTGGAATTAAAGAGAAGTATGAAGCGAGCTTACAGACAGTGATGGTCAGACTGTCAGAGCTGAGAGCTCTGAGGGGAGTGGAGAAGGGTTGTGTTAGAGAATTGGAGCTCGTGAATCAGAGCGAGGGACGGGGCCGGCCAGCGCTGGGCATGCACTGGGGGTGGTGGTGATGATTCCGTAAGGGGACATCAGTTTGCACAGTTGGCTCACTTTGTTCGGCATGAAGCAGGGGGACCCTGTGCTCGGCCCGGCCAAGGTGTCCACTGTCAGTCAGATGTGACAGAAGATGAGAGGGGAAGGGAGTCAGCGCTATTTGCAAGTGAGTAATTGTTACCCAGGGTGCCCTGGTGGCACAGTGGTTAAAATACTCAGCTGTTAATCAAAAGATCAGTGGTTCAAACCCGCCAGCAGCTCCATGGGAGGAAAGACCTGGTAAACTGCCCCCGTAAACATGACAGCCTTGGAGACCCTCTGGGAGGTTCTGCTCCATCCCAGAGGGTGGCTGTAAGTTGGAATCAGCTTGATGGCAGTGTGTTCATTTGTTTTTGTTTGAATTGTTATCTGAGGAGCCCCGGTTGTGCAGTGGTGCGGTGCGCAGCTGCTGGTCGGAAGGTTGGCGGTTAGAACGCACCGGTGGCTGTGCAGGAGAACACCGTGGTGACCTGCTCCCATAAACATGACAGCCTTGGAGACCCTGCGAGGCAGTGCTCTGCTGTCACGTGGGGTCACTGTGAGCCAGCACTGACTCAGCAGCCCTGCACGTCAACTAACGTCCAGAGTGAAGGAAGAGGAGGTGATGGGGAGGCCCAGGCGGTGGCCTGGCGGGCGTGCTGCTCCAGGCTTGCTTGAGTGTGGGAGCCATCTTTGCGGTGTTGGTTTCTGAAAGATTGTGTTCTGTGGGGATGGCAAACCCAGCAAGTGTCCCCTGAGGAGGAATAGAGGGCTAGCTCATCAGAGGAGAGGTCAAAGATGGCTTGTAAGTGTGGCCAAGGGCAAGAGTAGGTGTGGAGATCAGGAGGCAAGGATGAGGGACCTTAAGGTATGGACCTCAAATGACAGGGTTTTCCCAGGAACACAGGTAGCAGCCAACTTCCCGTACAGGACAGTAGAGCCAGCAGGCAGCTACATGTAGACATTCAAATTTATGTTAATTAAAATTAAGTAAAAAGCAAAAACCAGTTCTTTGCTCTCACTAGCTCCACTTGCGGTGCTCTGTCCACCGTGTGAGGGGTGACTCCTGTCCTGGCAGTGCTGATGTAGAAGGGCCTATTTCTGTAGAAAGTGCTGTTGGGCATTGCTGGTCTGGGAGGAGCAGGGAGGGCACTCTGGCGTCGCCTCCTCACCCCAGCCACATCGGGACGTTGGTGATGTGAAGTGTGGTAGTAGGCCAGCTGGGGCATGCTCAGCCCTGCGTGGATAGAACCAAAAAACCAAACCAAACCCACTGCTGTTGAGTTGGATCTGACTCACAGTGACCCCTCCTTGAGTTTCCGAGGCAGTGTTACTATGGATGTAGATTGCCCCATCTTCCTTCCGAAGAGTGGCTGGTGGTTTTGAACCACCAGCCTTCTGATTAGCAGTCAGATGCCTAAGGCGTGGACAGAAGAGCGCCTTAAATCCGGACTGAGATGCAGAAATAACAAACTGAAAATAACAGCTCAGTTGAATCTTGAAACTGTGAAAGTAGAATTCCTGTGCCTAAAATACAGATTGTTGTATGTTGTTTTTAAATTACTGTGCAAATATGTAAATAATACTGTAGAGCAGGTGGTTTTAGATACACATTCAGTCTGAAGTGAAGCCGAAACCTGCTATACCTCAGGATCTTTCTCCGAACAGAATGTTCGCCCCTTCTGATGTCAGCAGGCGTAAGTGGCTGCTGCCGGGTTCCGAGTACTCCATCTTCACTGGCCAGCCTTTGGACGTTCCTGAGAGCCCAGCGGGCAGCCTGCGAGAGGAAGCCCACGCTCCCGGGTAAGACAGCTTTGCCGAAGAGCCCAGTGATGGGCGGGTGGCTCTCCTCGGCTTTCTGCCGTCTTTAAATGTTTAGGGTAGAGAGATGGAGCCGTCTCCACGTTTGCTTTTGAGGACCTGCTTTGTGTTTCGTGTGAGACGCGGCCGCTTTAGGGCGCGATGTTTCAGCGGCTGCATGGAGCTTCCCTGCCGTGCTCCGGCTCTGTGGGGCGCTGACGCTGCAGATAGAGCCCGATGTCAGTCCTCTCGCCCTCGGGCAGCCTGAGCGCCAACAGCCCCTCATGGCCTTGCTGCAGGGTGCCGTCTGTGTGGAAACAGTTGAGGGCACTGGCCTGCATTATGCAGGTTCCATTTGAATTGATGTGTCTTGCACAGGCCAGAGTCACTGTGGGGCATAGGTGTCGTCTCTCTGTGATGTTACTGTCACTGCAACCCCAGTCAGCCTGTGTGTCTCGCGATTGTTACTTAAGGTACCATTCTCCTCCGGAAAAGGACACCCCTCCCGTAGACTCTCTGGCGGGCTTAGTGAGTACCAAAGAGAGAGGAACTTCAGACACCGCCATCAGGAAATCTTTCAAAGAACTCGATGAGGAAAGAATGTTTAAAAATTGGGGCACGCAGACAGAGAAAGAGGACGCCTCAGCTAGTAAGTGTTTGTTTTCTTCCTGTTTGATAGGTGGTAGGTAGATCGCGACCCTCCCCAGTCACAGAACCTTCTTTAGATTTCAGTTCCTCAGGTAATGAAGTAACAAGTCTAATTCATTACCTGTCACACCAGTCCCACTTCATAGGTGACTGTGAAGCTCTGCTGGCGATTGATTCCAGTCATGGCACAACCTGACCTTTCATACAGAGCAGATTAAATATGTTCTGAATGTTAAAAAAGGCTTACATGACATTCTGTGGGATTTAAAAAGTTGTATCAGTTTGTCTTCCATACACACATCAGGAGTTACACAAGGTGCTGTGTGCCCCTGAAGTGAGGTTCTGGACCCCTGTGTGTCTCCCCTTCCTCCTTGCTGAGCACCTTTAGGTCCAGATCGGCGGTGCTCTCATCTTCTCTCTCGGCTCACGTCGGCCAGGCCTGCTCCTGCAGCCTCGCACCTCTGGTGTCGCATCTCCAGAGTGGGATCTCCTCGTAAATAAATTAGTAACCTACCATCCAAAAATAAACTCTCTTGAATAATCACCTTGAATGTCAGTTGTAAACAAAGAAGTGGAATGGATTCGTTATCAACTCCCACCTTTTCTTTATCAAGCATTTTTTAGCATTATAACATGAATGCATTTGCAAGTAATGTTTATCACTTAGGCAGTGAGGAGAGTTGCTCAGAGTGAAAGACTGTTTGGTGTAACGTGTGTTAATAACGGCGCAGGCTGCGGTGCGCTATGTTCTGTTTCTGTGATTTTTTTTTTTCACATTTGTCTCTTGTAGAATTAGTGAATTCCCGGCAAACAGGAACTTCAGTTGGTGCCAGTCAATCACTGGAGAAATGTGCCCAACAAAGACAAAAGCGATTAAGTCCTGCCTCTCAGAGGTCATCATCTTTACCACCTTCAAACCGGAAATCAAACACTCCAAGTAAGAGTTCACTCTACGTGTGTCATGGTCTCCGGTCTGCGCGTGCTGTGTGACTGTCTCCTGTTCCTCAGGTGCTCTCCTTGGCTGCAGTAAAAGCCAGTGGGCTTTTCGCCCCAGGCCCCCAAACACAACCTTGTTCAATAAACAGTGTCTTATCACACAGATCCGTGACTGTACCTGTAGACTCGTGGCTTTTTAAAGTGAGGTTTTGGTCTATGTCCCATAAAATTTTTGCAACTAATACCACCTAACAGCCTGAGATAGTCAACAGAAATGCAACTAATTACATTAATTCACACAAAATAAGTTAGTCCGAAAAGAGCAGATAAGTCTTTTCATATATTTGTTGGTCACTCAGCATTGGTCACCTTTTTTTCTGTAGTTGGTTTACAACTACAGTTTTCAAATGTAAACATTAAATGTCTGTATCTTCAGTTTTCATTTCATCACAGTTGATGAGATTCTTATGTTACCATGTTAGAGGAATGTTCACTATTGTACTGGTGTCTCTGTCTTATTTCCAGTCGACTTCTAAAATCCTGAAAAACCAGTTTTTGAGTCTGAGTGCTGAAACTCTAGTGTGATATACTGAAATGTTAGCAGTGGTTACCTCTGAATATTAGCATGACCAGCTATTTTAATTTTTTTATGCTCCTATCTTTGGAAGTTTTACAGTGAAATCATATTCCTCTTGAAATTAGAAAAAAGTACTCTACTGAAAAAGAAACTGTTCTGCCAATATAACATATGTTATACAGAAGGAAAAGAGTATTTTCCTCTTTGTTTTCTTCTACAGCAAAAAGAGAGATTATGTTAACACCGGTGACTGTGGCTTATAGTCCAAAGCGATCGCCTAAAGAAAATTTGTCCCCGGGATTTAGTCATCTACTTAACAAAAATGAAAATAGTCCTGTTCGGTAAGGTCTCTAAAATTATAGAATTTAAAATATATATATATAATGAAATACTAACTTATGCCTTTAGCTACCACTCAGTTTTTAGCTGTCAGTGAGAGCCTTATGGATTTAAATTGTCTGAATGAATACCATATTAAGAATAACATAGTCATACACTCCCTGGAAATAATGCAGCTGTGTAGCTTGCTGCTCCTCAGTGCCCGGTGCCACCTCAGAGCCCCTTCTGGTTTCTGGATGCAGAGTGATAATTCTTTGTGTTCCTGAAAGGATCTATGGGAGAGAGAAACATTTTGAGTCTTTTGTCCAAGAAAGGGAGCTGTACTAGTGTGGCACTCACTGCAAGCTGCTCCGCCTGTGCTCCTGAGAAAACGGTCCTCCCTCTGAAGTGTGGTCAGCAGAGTGTGCTGGAGCGGAGAGCACGCTGGCTCATAGGCACGGGACTGGCGCTCGGTCCGGCCCCCGCAGTATCTGGGAGAGAATACGCTGTGCACCGCAAACACTGGTTGCTGCTTCTATGAAACGGGGATAGGAATACCTACCCTGCTTATTTCACAAGGTTGTTACAAAGATCCAGTGAGATGGTGCCTGGTGTGTACTGTCAATCTCTAAGGTATTATGTAAATACAATTTTGTGTTAAAACCAAAACCAAACCCATTACCATCAAGTCGATTCTGACTCATAGCGGCTCCCATTGGGTTTCCGAGGAGGTAAATCTTTACAGAAGTAGATTGCTTGATCTTCCTTCCACAGAGTGGCTGGTGGGTTTGAACCTCTGACTTTCTAGTTAGCAGCCAGATGCCTTATCCACTATACCACCAGACCTGTGGTGTGAGAGAATTGGATACCAGCCCATCTTTCTAGTGGTGATAGGAAGAATCAGTTAACATGACTTTTTTTTTTTTTTTTTCTCACAAGTAACTTGCTTCATTCAATAGATTTGATATGCTTTTGGATGATTTAGATACTGTTCCTGTGTCTACATCACCACGTACCAATCCAAGAAAACAACTCCAGTTTCTTCCTCTGCATGACTCGGAAGGTATCTTTTCCTACAAAATTCCTAGATACAGGTTTATCGTTCATTTTGTGAGATTCTAGTGTTTTTTTTCCCAAGGTTCTCAATATCTTGTAACATCCTGTGCTTAAGCATTTTTCACTCTAAAAATCCACATTCATGGTGCTTTGTATCATTGTGTCACTATTGTTATCGTCACTGAAACGTTGGGACACTGAGGTCCAGGGGATATTAATGTCCATGAGCAGGCCCATACTGTTATTGTTCTCTCATCTGCTCTGTAAATAATGAGAACTTAACTCTGATTTACATGGAGCTTAGGCTTCAGGTAACTTTTTCTTTTTTATATTTTAAGTTCAGAATAAAATTATAAGATAATATATGTGAAATCACCTAGGTTGGCCCTTGATGTGTTAACTCTTTAGTGTTGGTATATATGTAGTAAATGGTTTAAACTTAGTGTTAAGTTTACCTGTCACTTAGAGAAGCTGTGACGATAGTCAGCCCTAGGGCAAAGCTTGTAGTTTTTTGGAGGAAAAAAACAAACCAAACTCACTGCCATCAAGTAGGTTCTGACTCATAGCGACCCTCCTTGGGTGTCCAAGGCAGTATCTCTACGGAAGTAGATTGCCCAGTCTTCCTTCTGAGGAGTGGCTGGTGGGTTTGAACTGGCAGCCTCTGGTTAGCAGTCACATGCCTAAGGCAAAAGCACTGAGTAAATATGATTGTCGTCTCTTTCTTCATGACCTTCTCTGGCCATGGAGCAGCCATTTCTAGAGAGTGAATAGGGTTATATATTTAATGTGTGTATGATCTCTTGGAAAAACTGATAAATAGAAGAAGTTTTCTTCCTCTCTGACAGGAGAAAAATACTCAGAAAAAGCCTCTGACAACCATGTTAATCATAGCTCTTGCCCCGAACCATTGCCAAATGGAGTAAAGAACATATCTGTGAGATCAGCCTGGGAGAAGAATAAGTCGGTTAGCTATGAACAGTGTAAGCCTATTTCAGAAATGCCACATGGTAATGATTTTGAATACACAGCCAAAATTAGGACCCTGGCTGAAACGGAGCGATTTTTTGACGAGCTTACAAAAGAAAAAGACCAGGTAACAACAAGCAAACATTTTTGAAAATCTTTTCCTGAACTTAATGTTTATGGCAGGGATAGGGAGAAGGGAATGCCATGGCACACTCTGCCAAAGCTGCACTGGTGTTTGGGTGAGAAAACATCTCTGAGCTGGGCTGTGGTTACTGACTGATGACAGAGCTTAGATTAAGACCGGTGGAGCTCTAGGCTGAGAGCTTTTTTTTCTATTCTATGTGACAAACCCTCTCTGGTGTGATTAGAATTATTATGCTCTTACCTAAACATTCTCTTGCATTAACAGATTGAGGCAGCGCTAAGCCGGATGCCTTCTACTGGAGGACGGATCTCTTTGCAGACAAGATTAAACCAGGTAAAAGGCTTTAGCTTGACTCTGCGTTAGAGGCGTGGTACCAGTTTTGTGCTCCATTTATCCAAGATGACTTTAAAATCGGAGCTTTTAGGCATAATGAAGCAATCCAGTGAGACTCTTCACCTTTACAAAAAGTGTCTGGTGATTATAGTCTTTTATAGCTGCATGCGAGCTTTCAGGAATGAAAACTGGTTTTACCTTTAGACTTTCGGAAACTGTTCATGCCATAATGTTTTGAAAAAATTAACTTGGGAGCAGAGATGATAAGCCTTTTAGCAGATTTCACATAGTTAAGTTGATGCTGTCACATTAAATGTGTCCTTTTTTGTCTTTGTTTTTCCCCTTCCAAACCTGTAATTTCTTTCTTAATTTTCATTTTTTAAAACGTTTTTATTGTGCTTTAGGTGAAAGTTTACAGAGCAAATTAGTTTCTCATTGAGTAGTGTGGTAGTTAAGTTTGTGTGTCAACTTGGCTGGGCAGCTGGTGGTAGTTATTCCCCATGATGAGACTGGCAATCATCTCCATGGTGGGATCTACCACAAGCAGCTGAGTAGCTGCCTTTGGGATGTGATCTGCTTCCTGTATATAAGGAGAAGCCTTGGGGATAGTCTCTAGCTTACAGCAAGCTTAGACCCTGCATGTACCATGTCACTGTTCAGCAGCCTGCCATGCTCTGCTGACCTTGGGGCTTACAGTGGACTTGAATTAATGGCCTGGCATGTGGTTTGGTAACATCAGGACTGTGCCTTTTTACTTGTCAACCTTAGGTTTGTTAGCCTCAGCGGCCAGCAGCTGTCTGAGTGAAGATGTCTCTAGCTCCAGGGGGCTGGGAGCAGGAGGCAGAGCTGGACCCCAAGGTTGAGGGGTTTTCACCCAGCCCCTAGAGCCTGGCAGTTTGAATTTGGAATTAAAGCCTCCAAATTGTAAGAGAATAAACTCCTGTTTGTTAAGGCCATCCCATTTGTGGTATATTCTTGACAGAGCAGCATTAGGGAACCAGAACAGATAGCTTGTATGTAAAATACGAATGCAGCTATATGACATTGGTTGAATTCCCCACAATATGTCAGCCTTCTCCCCATTTCTGCCCTGGGCTCCATCTTCCCTTTCCTCTGGATTTTCTACCCGTTCCTTCTGTTTGATCTTTGGTTTTGGGCAGATGTTATCCTTTTGATCTTTTGAAATTCATCTCTGAACCCCTTTCCTAGTAAGCCTTTGAAATTGTTGCCCTTTGCAACTGGCCTCAGTGTAGAGGTGAGTGCGAGGTTGCTTTTCAAAGAATGAGAATGAGTGAAACCTTTCAAATCTACTCTTTTTGTAATGTTTTAAACAAAAAATAAGTATATGTCTTTAATGTACAAGTGCATGTTTTGGCTGTATCTTGCACTGATGTGGGAGAAAAACTCCATTACAGCTCGATCTGTAATGACCTGCACACGGGGCGTGGGGGCGGCATCTTTTGACCTCCTCTGACTTCACAGTGGGGGTGGGGAGAGGCTCAGCAGCGGCAGCACCAGCCTGAGGCGGATCCTTGTGAGTCCGAGGTCAGGCATGCCGCCACCTTCCAACCTTTCTCCCAGTTCTGACACCAGTTGCCCTCCCATAGTTCTTTGCTGGGATCAGTCATTCCTTGCATTGTTCACACAGCACTCAAAGATAATACAATTATGAGGCTTGTTAGAGAAGTAACAAGTTCCAATTCAGGATCAGAAACAGCTCATGATACAGTTTACAGTTCTTCAGTCAGAACAGGACAGCTTCTTCTCAGCCAGGCCACAGGCATGCTGCTCTCTGGCCTCAGTGTCTGCTGTGCTCAGGCTGGTGTTACACAGCTCTCTTTGCTTTGCCGATAGGTGCCCAAAGAGGCATCCCTCTCTGCCAGCAAGGCTCCTGCCCTAAGGCACGACCTTCTTGTCTGTGGGCCAGAAAGCCTGCTGTTCCACCTCATGCTGGTCTCTGGGTTCTGCACCTCTGCTGCCGTGGTCTCTGCTGTCCATCTCAGTGCAGGGGTCCTCGGGTCCAAGGACACGCTCCAGACCTGGCTCTTCTCTCTTGATGGCAGGGAGATCTTCCTTCACACCTTGGATGGCTCTTTTTAAGCCTATTGGGATGGCAAAACTGATTGCCACGTTAGGGTTCCACACTCTGTTTGCACGGTCTCACCCCCACAAGGGGCCCATGTACCTTATTTACATTATTTACAAGCTGTCCAATCCCCTTGGTGGACAACAAGCAGTTCAGTCATCTGATGGGAGTCACAAAGACCATGGCTACAAGGGCCGTATTTAGTAATTCAGTATACCACATATGAGAAGGAAAGAAATCCACAAAGAAAATAGCAGAAGTCTTTTTCTAGAGTTTGTATACCTCTTTTGCTCTGACTGTAAGTCTTTTTATTTTTCTTGGAGTTTTTATTCAGTAATTTATTAAGACTGAATCAATACATGAAACTCTTCCTACAGTAATTTACTGGGAAAGCATGAGAAAAATTTGCTGATAGCCTGCTTTTAAATCTGTCTGAAACATTGAGTTCAATATATTTTTATACAATGAGTATTAAAAATTTGTTCTGACACTGAAATACGACTTCAAGGGCACTCTTGTCTGTTCATATAGGCCAGAGCTGTTTCAATCCAATAAGAAGACAGATGGCACCAAACGGGGGCTAAGGATGCTCAGACGATTAATAAGCAGAAAAAAATAACAGTGGGCTAAAAAGATAAAAAGTGTTGAGCCTCATTCATTCATTCAAAAATGTTTATTTAAGCAAAAGCATCATTTTACTTGAAACTATCGTGTTGACAGGTGTTTTTAAAAATGGAGAAAAGCTGATTCTCACAGTGCAGGGGAAGTGGAAATTGTCACCGATGCTCTGAGGACAACCTGACATCTGTCCAGAGCTTCAGAATTCTGCATTTCTTTGGACCAGAAGTTTCACTTCTGAGACTCATTCTCTAGTCAGTACTGCAGATAGGTGCAAAGAGAGATGTGAAGGAAGATTTATTATGTTTGATTGGTTTATTAGCATTGATTATGATTAATTTATTAGCATTATGTATGATACCCCAAATTAGGAGTAACCTAAATTTCTACTAAAAAGATTCTTAGTTAAATGTGCTATAACAGAATATTGCACACTTACTTTAAATGATGTGTTTTAGAGGGGTCTTTTAAAATGAGAAGTTCAATTGAAAGACATTTTGAGACAGAGTTTGAGTCTACTTTTTTTAAAAAATGAAAAAATAGGAAAGAGGGACTGCTTGTTTTTTGATGGTAGGATTTTATTTTAAAAATTTTGCTCATCTGTCTTTTAAATATTCTATAATGAACATGGGAGCTCTGGTAGCATAGTGGCTAAGGCACTTGACTGCTAACCAGAAGGCTGGCGGTTCAAACCCACCAGCCACTCCTCGGAAGGAAGATGGGGCAATCTACTTACGTAGTAATAGTGCCTCGGAAACCCAAGGGGAGGGGTCGCTATGAGTTGGGTCTGACTTGATGGCACATAACAACAACAACAACTACATAATGAACATGTACAAAGATAACAATTTTGAGATTTTCTTTCAGGACTATGTTGGAGTCAATACTGAATAAACCATCTAACATGATAAATAGGTATTTCAGGGACTGCTTACTCATAGTACTAATTTTCTGAAAGTGAAAGTTATTACATTGATTCATTTAAAATCCCTTGCCCTTGGGAAATCTCCTCCAGCAGTTTTCCTCCTTTTCAACTTAGAAAGTTTGTCTGAATAAAATTACTTGGTTTTCAGGACATGAGTCAGTGGAGTCCAGCACCAGCTCCCTCTGCCTATCTCTTCTGAAGGTTCCTCTTTGGTTCAGCAAAGCCCAAGAATGACCCCAATGCAATGCCCTTACTACGGCTTCTATATCCAGGCAGATCTCAGAGATACTGTGGGGTCAGCCCCACACCACCACAGTAAAGCGAGTAGTGCAATAAAGCACATCAAGCACATTGTTTGGTTCCCTCCCACGTATACTAGTTATGTTTGTACTAAACTGTAGTCTAGTGTGTAATAGCATTACGGAAACGTTTGAACTACTGTAAGAATGACCAAAATGTGACACACAGACATGAAGTACGTAACCTCTTGCTGTTGGAAAGATGGTCCCAACAGACTTGCTTAACCAGGGTTGCCACAAATCTTCCATGTGTGAAAAATGCACCATATGCAATGCACAGTAAACAAGGAATGCCTGTGCTTGGAGTGCTAATGTACTGAGAATACTTTAAAGTGCAGCAGTGCTTTTGAACGTCTGAAAAACTGATTCATATTTAGTTTAAAAGGAATAATTTTAATGACACAGACTTGTATAGAAAACAGAATAAGTATCTGTAATATTAACATTCATACTTGCTGTTTTGCTAAAAGAAAGGTCAATTTGTGATAATTATGGAACCAGTGAACTTGATGTACTAATTTTTTTTCCATTATTTTCATCTAGGAAGCCTTGGAAGATCGTTTGGAAAGGATTAATCGAGAACTGGGTTCAGTTCGCATGACACTAAAGAAGTTTCATGTTCTGCGCACCTCTGCGAATCTTTGAGATTGGTAGCCATTAAATTGTGAGATGTTTGTGTTTGCACTAATGTATAATTATGCACTCAGAAAAGGCTATTTTGTACTGTTTATAAGCTTTCAAACAGTAGTTTTACAATCATGCTATTCTTTACACTTGCTCTTTTATACTTCAGATGGCCACATATTTTCAAGATATTTTTGTTATGCTCAGGAATCTCTTGTATATTTTACTCTTTAAAAAGTGTTATTTTTAAATAGTACATGTCTCCAGTTTATATCAAGAATAAGGAAGTGTAAACAGGGAGGCAGCTTGTTTCTAAACAGATAGGGTTATCCTTTTACACTTAACTGTACACACCAATTTTATAAAGTTATTCTACATTGTAAATATGATTTTTTTAAATAAGTGCTTCCATAAGCATAGACTAATATATGCTAAATGCAAAAAAAAAAAACCCAAAACATTATACTCTGGATTTCAGTTTTGTTGAGGTTTTTAAAAGATAGGTGTCCCATTTTAAACGTGTCTTGGAGTAAATATTAGAATAGTAATAATGGGATACTGGAAAGCTTTGAAAACTACATGAATATAAATCTATTTGCTTCCCTAAACTTTTATTATTTGTAAGGAAGGGAAAACGAGAGGGATGATGCAGGTCTCTGACTTTGTCTTACACGCAGTGCTTTTAAGAAAAAGTCAAACATCTGGAGAGCTGTGGCTTGCTGCCCCTTGTTCTGAATGTAGATTCTGTCCCACTCTTGACAGTAAGCCCATAATGCTTTGCTGAAGAACAGACTACCACGCAGAGTGGTTGTTAAGAGAGAGCAGCCTCGGTTTCCTTAATGTATGCGGCTTCAACTGTCTGTCAAAGGCATCGGCTAGACATCTGTAAACCCTCCCACCTCCTCAACTGCTGCCAAAAAGAGAGCAAAAACACTCCCGTAGTAGGTGCTTTCGGAGCTGTACGTTTTGGATCAAGCTGTTGTACTTGCTGACGGACATGCAGTGTGTCTGGACAGGGCCTGCCCACTGCTTTGGGGGTACATGCTGGCTCTGGGAAGAAGCTCGCACGCAGGAGGCCTGTCGGGTGTGTCTCAACTGTCCGTGACGTCCGGGCTGCCTACCTGCCCACTTTTCAGGGGCCAGTCTGAACCCAGTGCCCACACATGCCAGCCCTGCTGCACATGGTGATAAACAGCCATCCAAATTGCTCACAGAAAATGCTCAGGTTTTCAAGCTTGGCTGGCTTCTGTACTTTTCTCCTCTCATGCACCTCTCAGTAGCATGTAGTTACAACGAACCAAGCCAAATCCAGTTATTCTAGCAGGGTATATTTATGTGCCCTTGAATAGGGATCTCAAGTTGTTCCCTTCACCAAAGCGTCACCTGGCGGATCTCCAGGCTGGGTGCCCATAGCTATGCTCCCTTCTTGCAGCTTAGTGGCCATACATGGCAAGGGAAACCCACCTGACTGCCGCCTCTCTCCCTCCTACCCATTAATTGAACCTTTACTCCCAATGCCTGCAACTAGTTGAAGACTGGCTTGATCAAAAGTAATGAGTCATCGCCACAAGCAAGTGCCTTTATTCTTGATATTTTTATCTTTTCTAGCCTCTCTTTTTTTTAATCTCGTAGTTGCAGAAGAGAAAAAGTTCATGTTAATTATGCTGTAGTACACCATGTGACAGACCTGGTAAAGGGATTATTGCTGATACCTCTTTAATTTGTTCCTACATAACATTAAAAATTATCTTGAAAATCAGGATATTTCATTGTTCCCACAGCTTTTATTATAGGCTACTAGATTCTTAATAATAAGGAAATTGCATTTTAGAAGAGATTATAGTTTTATCTTGTCAAATAGTTCCCTTCTTAGTGGCTGATATTGGCTTATTCCAAAAAAGATATTAAGCCCCATCAAAATATCTTCTGCACCTCTCTTGGAGAGCATACGCTTTGATTTTTTTGAAGTATAGAATAGATTAGAAGAAGTATCAGTCACTTAAAAAGCCATTTTCTTTTCTCTTCATAGCTGTGGTAATACTTAACTTTATGAACACCCAACTTAAAAACAGCTCAACCTAGAAGTAGCAAAAAAATGGCAACTCTTCTCCATGGAGGGGAGATGTACTTGGCAAAAGACCTAGTGAATCTTTGCCTTGGGAAGGGCTTGTTTTCAATGCAGTCAGAAGGGTAACTCTTTCCTTGCCCCAGGTGTGCCCCCTCCCCTCCTTGTCCCTTACAAAGCCATTAGTGGTGGAGCTACTGCTTGGGGGGCAGATTTGCACCACGCATCCCAAGTAAAAAGTCGGTGATACGCCCTGGAGAGAACAATCATGGGAGAAGGAAGGGCTGCTTATGCACAGGGAGATAGCTCAGGGTGCAGAAGAGTATGAAGGGACGGACTCTGGGAGGAGGTAACTATGGGGGGGAAGTGGGAGGGGAGCTGCTGCATTGTAAATTTTGGTCAATGACATGAGACAAAGTATATGTGAACTGCTGTATGAAAAGTGAATTTACTCTGTAAATCTTCACCCAAATCCTAATAAAAAAAAAAACGCCCCCAAAAAAAAAAAAAAAAAAAAGTCGGTGATAAAGATTGCAATTGAGGCGCCAGTAGATGAAGCTAAAGTGGCGGCAGTCCAGAGCTGTGCAGCACCTGGGCCCAGGGGCAGGAGCACAGGGGGGCAGAGTCAGCCAGCCTGGCTCGGGCAGCCACCGGCCTTCCTGTCCTGTAGTGCCTGGTGCTTATTAGCAAGTGTTCCATAAATGGTGTGTTTCAGATAATTCCCAGGTAAATGGGCTTTTAAGGTAACAGTTTAGTAGCTTGGTTTTTATTTTAAATAGAAAAGTAGATTCTGTGCTAAGCAGTCTGACCTGAAAAATAACCTCGTGTCTGATAGTTCGGTTAGGTGGTCCAGTAGGTGTTCCCCTCATTTCTTTGCAGAAAACATTGGGCTTTCAGGGAGTTTAAATGAGCTGTACTTTCGTGTACCTTCGTTTTAAATGACTAAACAATTTTTGGTAAGTTCAGAGACTACTTTGATTTTAAAATTGTTGAGTTTGAGGCTGTTTGTTATAATTGAAGGCTATTTTCCAAAAAATTAATTGCCAATAAGATCTGGTAGCATAGTGCCTAAGGCACTTGACTGCTCACCAGAAGGCTGGCGGTTCAAACCCACCAGCCACTTCTCGGAAGGAAGGTTGGGCAATCCTACTTCCATAGTGATACTGCCTTGGAAACCCAAGGAGGGGTCGCTATGAGTCGGGGCCGACTCGACAGCAAACAACAACAACAACAACAACAAGATCAAAACACTCCTTTCTGTGTTCCATAATCATGTAAAGGTTAGGGCACATGAAACTGTTCCACAGAGGAGGTGCCGACCCTGGCGTTAGAAGAGAGAGGTGAAATTATGACATCATTTTCCAAGTTTGATAACCAACCCAAAAGGGTTCCCCTTGTTAGCCCAGAAAAGCCAGGCACTTCGCTGGATGCTGTTTGAATTCTGAACACTGCGTGTGTATGCATAGTCAAGTTTGACGTTTCTGTCATTTTGTGAGATTCTCAAAAGCAGTTCTCACTAACTTTTCATGTGCCACTTACGCTATGTCTTTGCTTTAAGAAATCAGTGTAATCAAGGTAAATCCCGTTTCCCCCTGTTGTGAGTGAGTGTGGCTGGGTATGAGATTTGCAGGCCTGATGAACTCAGATGACACACATTTTGCTGGAAGTCATTTCCTGCCCTGCTACAGTTTGGTGGCAGTTTGATAATATACTAAACCATACCAGTGTTCTTAGGACCTGTGTTAAGATGCCTTTCCTTCCATGTGTGTTGATTTCAGTAGACCCCCTCTCAGGAGGATTCAAGCCATAGATTTGCATTTGCTGAGCATTGTCTATTGCATCAGCACCATTACTACTACAGCTCCTCAAAGAGGGGAGCTTTGTTCCTAGTTTATAGTGTCACTGTAACAGTGACCAACAATGTGAAAATGTCACTTCCTGAAGTGCTGCTGGTGGTCAGACAAAGACAAGCGCTTGTTGCAGTTGTTGGTCAACCGAGTCGATGTTGGTGTAATGGAATTGTAAGCTCCGTGAGAGCAGGAACTGTATCTCCTGTTCTTGCACACAGGCTTTCAATAAATACTTGTGAACAGAACTGACTTGTGCTATTACTATATGTGTTTTAACTGGCTGACTGTGAGATCTGATTTTTTAATGGAGGCCCTGGATGTATGTAAATCCTCTGAGTGACCTGAGTAGCGTGCAATCATTGCAGGTTACAGTGGTTTCCGGCGGCTTACATGGCAAAGAACCTCCTTCTGGGGAGTGAGTATGCTCCAGAAATCTGCATCTGGATCTTCAGGGCTCTCTGGGTGGAGGGAGGAATTGAGGGTTTAACGTTTGCTGGGTCCCCTTCACTTGCCTCCATGGGGTCGTCATACAGCAAGTATTTTTGAGGCAAGTTGTACTGTGGCCCATTCATTCTCTAGTTCTGACAAGAACACCGGCATGAGCAGCCTTTTGCGGGGTTTCCATCCATGGCCATCTCTTGTCACCTTGGACTGCTTTGAGTCTACATCTACCCTTCTGCCCAGGGTAGAAGCACCCCATGTCTTCTCTCAACCAAATAAAGCAATACTTTGCAACATAAACTACCTCAGCATTTTAGCTGTCCCCTGTTTAGTTCCACTACAGGCTGCCCCAGGTTATGTCCAGTTTATGTACAGCCTGTAGTTAAGAAACACCCCCCAAAAACCTATTGAAAGTTCGATGTACATACAGTGGTTTGTTAATAACAAATGGACACGATTTTCTGATGCACATGAAAACATTATTACCATGTTGTGTTAGAGATGTTTTGGTGTACCTGGAAGTGTTTAATGCCTTGTATGCATAGAAAGGTATACTTACTAAGGAAACATCTGACTGATGTTCAATACCAACTGTACCCAACTATTCTGATGTACAGATTGGATTTAAAGAATGGAACTCGTTCATAATCCAGGAACTGCCCTTA